AAATAAGCACCCATAAATAGCATTTATTCTAATTAACAGCAACAGATGTAATACACAATTCAACTCAAACGAAAAAGTCTAGCCAGTTTGTAATAGATTAATTAATTACTTAATAGATCCATTAAACAATAACAAATGACGTCATACTATACGAATTTTCACCAGAACAGCAGAATAAGGAAACTACTAAGTTTACTTTCGATTTACGACAACACATCCGCCGCACGAAAACCGGCCATTACAACTTTTTTGGTGAGAGAAGAAAATGAAACTAGAACAATATTGAAAAAGTCGTTGATTCAGAAAATATCCAGACAAGCGATAGCCAATTAAAATTCACGAAGCAGAGAGTTTGAAAAAACTGACAGTTTAAATTGAAAGAGAGGTCTCCTTAAAATGAAAGAAGAAAAAGCTACAGTGTATGATGATTTTGTAAAAAATGAAGTCAAAATATTTTCAGTGACTTACTCTTTCAAAAGGCGGCAAGACAGCGAAGGCGAGAATAAAGGTTTTTTTTTCTTCACCTAACAGGAAATTTAATATTAGGCGGGAATGACCATTTAAAGCTTTCTTTCATTATATTTACGCTTAAATTAAGAAAAACTTCTATAAATAGTAAAAAATTTCGCATAGAATAAGCCAAACTGTTAATTAGCCAAAAAATAAGGGTAAATAAAAGTTAACAATAATCAGAAGAAAAGGTTTAAATAACTGAGTAATTGTAACATTGCACTAAGAGTGTAGAGAATATAAAAACAACAAAACATTTGAATATAACTAAATGCATTTTATTTTCAAAGATAATAATAATTAAAAAAATTTAAATATATTATACTGAATTTTAAGTGAGCAAAAATCCTTTTTAGCTGCTGCGATACATACATTCAACAGTATGACTACTCAAAAAGTGTACGGCCACATTTCTTACGCGATCACGTCTCCCTTTAACATTAATAATTTCTTTTAAATTATATATAAAAAAGCATTTTAATTTTTATTGTATCATTTCTAATATTTGGCGGCACATTATAAGAATTTGATGGCACACAAAAGTGCCGCGGCACAGTGGTTGAGAATCACTGATCTAGACCATTGTTTCTCAACAGAGGATTAATATTTCTATAAGAATTATTATAAATTTTATTTATATTTATTATAATAGACATATTAATCTTAGTTATAGGTATAGGCAAGAAATATTTTTCATCGTAGAGGGGGTAGGATCAGAAACAAACTGGCAAAAAATACAATTTTCTATTTTCCTCACTCATTTTCATGGGTGGTTATACTAATAAGGCTTAACACCAGTGGCATAATGCCACCGGTGTTTAGTCTTATTAGTATAACCACCCATACACACGCTTGTAGTAGTTAAACAGGTGATGGATTTATGATAACGTTTAACTCTTTGAAACTGGGTATACACTTCTGCCGAGATGACTTAAACTGTCATTTTTATCGACTTCTAGAGCAGGCACCACAATATTTTAATCAATATAAGTGGGCTGGCCAGTTGGCCGAGCGGTCAGCGTTATTCCGAAGGGAATGGTTGCTGGTTCGAATCTCGCTCAGGGCATGGATGTTTCTCTGTGTGTGCTGTTCTCTGTAGTGTGAATATGGCCTACCCTATGAACGAGTATCTGGGACAATATGACGATGGTAATGTTGCTCGCCTCCGTGATTTAGGTTCACAAGTGCCCACTGGGTAACGTTAAATGAGCAACAGCTCCGGCATCTCCCGACGCAATGAACAAGAAGTTGAGTGCCCGCCGTTGAAAAAATCAATGCAAGCAGAGTTTCCAATATCATCGAAATTGGTGACACAGGCGTGTTGAGTAGAGTTGTTCCAGAAAGCATATAACCTAACCGCTATCTTGCGTCGGAATGTTCTTTTCACTGTCGCGAAAATGTTTGTACTAAAAACCTTTTTTTAAAGCAAAAAAAAAAAAAAAAAAAAAAANGCTTTTAAAAAAAAAATAAAAAAAAAAAAAAAAAAAAAAAAAATGCAGTTTCAGCCTGTCATTCTCAAAGGATTAAAAAACGAATTTTTAAAGCTTTTTTATAAAAGCATGTCACTAAAGGCCTGGTTTCTTAGGACAGGACGCCGTCAGCTGGAAATCAGCGCTAACCTCTGATTGGTCCATTTGTGAGTTTGATAGTATACGTCATCGAGCGCTCATCTTGAACTACAATTGCCGTNGATTAAAAATTATTTTTTAAAAAGTATTGTCACCTATATAGGTAAAATGGTCACTTAAGTTCATAATGGCGTTTAGGCTGACTTCACACTAGCGATAGGAGGAGTTCTGGCTGAGGGAGTTCTTACTTTAGACAAACTATATACAACATAGGGATGAGCGAAAAACGAAATGGAATTTTCTGGTGGGTCAAGCGTTAGTTATTGTTTAAAATTTTACTAAAAGCGATTCAGTTTTTCACCTATTTTAAGGTTAACATCAGGGATAATTTCTCACCTATAGCACAAAAAAGTAGTTTATTGAGCACATTTAAATATTTATTTACTTTATATTCACGATCGCAATGCTTGAGTTCGCCCTTAAAAAATCAGGCCTGAAAAATCAGGCATTTATTTATTAAGTTTTCATTTAGTTCCATCAGAATCATTGGCCGAGTCTCTATAGTCCAGGCTTTATGACTTAAACACCACCTTTTCCTGTTACGGGCATTGGCCTCACTGATGAGTGGCTTCTCAATTGCAGCACGGCCAGCAATTCCCTGTTTATGAAGCTCCCTTCTAATTGTTTTGGTACTCACAGGGTTCGGTAACACAACATTCATTTCAGCAGTAACTTTTGCAGCTGTGGTTTTCATATTTTTCGTCACAATTGCCCTTAATGATCGTCTGTCACGATCACTCAGGACACACTTTCGTCTACGCTGTGATTTAGCAGATGATGTTTTTCAGCTTTTCAAATATGCGGAATAAATCTTCGATACAGTACCTCTTGAAGCACTAAACACCTCGGCTACCTTGCTTACGGAAACACCTACCATACATGCTCCAACAATTTGCCCACGTTCGAAGTCTGTTAACTCTGACATAACGCAATGACAACCTCACATAACAGTACTCCGACAACAACTGAACTGTTTAGCACATTTACGAAGTTGTATAGGTGGCGTAAGTAATCAAAAACGCCAGCGCCCCCTACATATTTCATTAAAATCAATCTTTCTTTTCAAACTTGCATTTCACAAGGTGTTTCCATATTTTTGTCCAACCCCTGTATATTATTATTTGAAAATAAAATTTTCAAACGAAGAACATTTAATTTGGAATTCTGCGGATTTATAAAGCAAGTAAGTGTTATGGTTTTTATAATAAAAATTATTTTTGTAAATAATATTTTTTCTTATTTGATGATAGTTCTCTACAGAATGGTTTTTTATGTCTGATTAAGAACTATAAGAATAAAAAAAAGAAATAATATGACAGTTTTTTTTAATTTAATATGAGGAATTTATAAAATCGTTTTTTTATCCTAAGAATTCCTTATTTTACGTTTTTTAGTTTATAATCTATATATATAAAAGAAAGTCGTGTTAGTTACTTCACTTATAACTCAAGAACGGCTGAACCGATTTAGCTGAAAATTGGCAGGGAGGTAGTTTAGAGCCAGGAGAAGGACATAGGATACTTTTTATCCCGTGCGATAAACCGTTCNTTTTCATGGGTGGTTATACTAATAAGGCTTAACACCAGTGGCATAATGCCACCGGTGTTTAGTCTTATTAGTATAACCACCCATACACACGCTTGTAGTAGTTAAACAGGTGATGGATTTATGATAACGTTTAACTCTTTGAAACTGGGTATACACTTCTGCCGAGATGACTTAAACTGTCATTTTTATCGACTTCTAGAGCAGGCACCACAATATTTTAATCAATATAAGTGGGCTGGCCAGTTGGCCGAGCGGTCAGCGTTATTCCGAAGGGAATGTTTGTTAGTTCGAATCTCGCTCAGGGCATGGATGTTTCTCTGTGTTATTCTCTGTAGTGTGAATATGGCCTACCCTATGAACGAGTATCTGGGACAATAATGACGATGGTAATGTTGCTCGCCTCCATGATTTAGGTTCACAAGTGCCCACTGGGTAACGTTAAATGAGCAACAGCTCCGGCATCTTCCGACGCAATGAACAAGAAGTTGAGTGCCTGCCGTTAAAATAATCAATACAAGCGGAGTTTCCAATATCATATTTTCATCGAAATTGGTGACACAGACGTGTTGAGTAGAGTTGTCCCAGAAAGCATATAACCTGACGGCTATCTTGTGTCGGAATGTTCTTTTCATTGTCACGGAAATGTTTGTTCTAAAAACCTTTTTTTTATTAAAGCAAAAAAATTGCAGTTTCAACCTTTCATCCTAAAAGGATTAAAAAACTAATTTTTAAAGCTTTTTTAAAAAAGCATGTCACTTAGGTCCATAATGACGTTTTAGCTGACGTCACACTAACGATAGGATCAAACTGCATTGTCCATTAAAATTGCAAGACAAGGTGGATTTTAGCTGAGCATACAAGACATTGCGATAAGAAACCTTATAATTACCTAGATTTAAGATTATTTTCACCTTGAGACTAGCTTCCTTAAAGGATTTTTTTTTCACGCTTTAACACCCTAAGTCAACCTCCATTTAAAGTTCTTTTTTATAGAAGATTGTTTTCCAAGGCATTGGATTATTGGACACATAAACCGCATTACAAACATTTTAAGGTTTTTATTAAAAGGCTTTTGCTGAGTGAAAATAAACCTTATTTTGCTATCTGGGGAGAATTAAAACTTCTCATGTGTTGAATGAAATAGTGTGGTGTCAGCGAACTCTAGATCAGCCAATCAGGAAGGTGATAGCCTAGTTATCTCGACAAAAGTGTAAAACCAGCACCGACGCTTTATAGGGCTTCTTGAGACATGCAGCACACAATTGGTACATGAAAACGGTTTTTGGAGCCGTCTCACGATTTTTTAATACGAAGTTTTAAGAGACTTTCGATCATTGTTTATTTTGTACTGAGCCAAACAATCATTAGAGAAGAACGCTTTCCACTAAAGAGTGGAAAGTCTAGTGGAAAGTCAGCCAGGAAGCTGGGTTCGTGTAGAGAATTTTGCGGACGTCCTCTGGATGGAACCCCCGGCTCTTCATTATGGGGACAATATTGAGGAGGATGTGAGAGTATCCATGACCACCATATTTCATCTGAAATAAAATTTAAAAAAAACTGTCATTATTCGCATCCTAACACCATCGAACTCAAAATTACAAAATGTACTTTTTACTGCAAATTTATACACAGATGGGAGATATTTCCATGTCGGTTCATGTCAATTAAATTAACCAAGGTGCCAAGGCGGTTTAGTACGTGTGAAAATTTAAACAAAACATTTATTGTTTCCCTATTTCATGTTTCCATACACCGAACTTCTCTGATATAACTTGTAATTATTTGCATATTCAGTTCAAAAATAAAAAAATATGTAAAAAAAAGTTGTGATCGCTTTATTACGATCACTAGTTTCACATTGGTCAAATGCTTTTTCTTTCTGGATTGACTCCGCTAAACATTTCAAATCATGGGTGGCAAAAACTGTCTCAATGGATGCTTGACGTCGGATTGATTTTCACGTTCTATGTACGTGTTTCACAAAATACTTTTCCTTCTTCATCATTCATATTTATATTAAAATCACCGTCATGCCAGCAGTTATACGTTAATAATGAAAATAATATAAAAATACTTTAAATTGTTATCATGTAAATACTTTAAAAATGCCTGCTAGCGAAAATAAAAAGAAAATCAGCAGCGGTTGCCATAGCAACGCATGCAATGATGAGGACGCATGCGCACTGTTTACTATAACTCTTGAACACAGTTGAAAAGTGTGATGACGTCCAAATAAGGTGCGCAAGCCATCAAACTCAAAACAACACCTATTTTGCCAATGGGTAATAAATGAAATAAAGAAAAAGAACACTCTATCACCATGGACTTGATTCTAAACGGCGTGACTTACCAATCTGTGTTTTGTGTGTATGTCATGAGCTACAACTATTTTGTCTCCGTAACCTTCCTGAATGAGGCATCTCAGTGACTCCATCCGCTGAGCATCACTGGGCATGGGGATGAGTTCGTCCAGTTGATAGAGAGACACTTCAATTCCAAAGAGATCGAATTCACAATAGCTTCCGAGAGATGCAAACTCCAAAAGACTCTCCTTCGTTAAAAGGGTACCTGTATGGAAACACACCTTTCTATTACTTCACCCTATTACCCTTCATCCTAAAAATTAAAAATTATTTTTTGGAGGTTTTCTAAATTTTTTTTTTTTTTTTCATTTAGGTCCATAATGATGTTTTAGCTGACGTCACACTCAAAGGATCAAGTTGCATTGTCCATTAAAATTTCGTGACAAGGTGGATTTTTGCTGAGCATGCAAGACTTTGCGAAAAGAAACCTTATAATTACCTAGATTTAAGATTATTTTCACGTTGAGGTTAGCTTTATTCAAGGATTTTTTAACACTTCAAAACCCTATATCAACCTCGATTTAAGGTTTTTATAAAGAAGGTTGTTGTCCAAGGTTTTGGATGAGGGTAATGTGCGTAGAATAGAGCAGACTGCCACAGATCTCGTTTTAAGGTTAGAAGGTTTACACGTAAACCGCAAAAAAAACCTATTTAGGTTTACATCAAAAGGTTTTGGCTGAGTAAAAATAAACCTTATTTCGCTATCTGGGATTATTACTTATGGTCACATATTAGTTTTACATAAAAATAAGACATTATTAATTATTAAGAATAAACAATGTTTAATAAAAGCCATCCATTAAAATACTCAAACATTAAAACAATTAAGCTTAAAGCAGAAAAAAAATTATAGTCAAAATATTTAACATGTGTGCATTAGTTTGCCAAGGTTAGATGTCATGAGGTATTTTTATGTTTTAAACAAATATTCATATGTGTGTATATTTTGTTTGGTCTTAAAAAATACATGTTTCGTTTTCATCACATGAGGATTATTCAAATATACTTTAATCGGAATCTTATTTCCAATAAATAATCGTTTTAATTGTGTTAGTAAATGGTACGTTTCAATGTTTTTTATGGAACGCATTACTTTTTATTTTTCCTGTTTCTATTCGATAATGTATGAATGGTATCCCTTTATTTCCCTAGAATTACATTTCTCAGAGCAAAAAGAAAAAAAAAGATATTTATTGATTTTATTCATAAACAAATAAGAACAAAAAAAAATGACTCACGGTCTAGGTGTGACATGACTGTGTTAGAAACTCTTCCGCCCGCCTCTTGAAATACGCGGAAAATCTCTTCCGGACAACGAGAATCTCTTCCGGGATGTATAATGACAGGGGCTCCGGTTTCCTCTTGTACAATTGCCGTAGACACTAACGACTTTTTCTCGAAATCTGAAATATAGAATGCATGTACAGTTTGTCTACGGTAAGAACTCCCCTCCCCCGCCGCGAAGTCTGAGGCCGCCTGTTGCTATGGAAACAAAAATAGCGCATTTCAAGGAGGGTTGCTTCTCTTCACTCTAGAGCAGTGTTTCCCAAAGTGAGGTACCCGTACCCCCAGGGGTAGGGGAACAGTTTAGCGGGGGTACGCGATCTTATGCGAAATATCTTTGCAACAAACGAAAATTTTAAAAAATTTTATTTGAAAACAAAGTTGGTCATGGAAATTTATGATTACGTATTTTTCAATTGGTTATTTTTTGCAGAGTTAACAGTTAATAATTGGTGGTGTCAACAGCCAGTTGTAATTTTTAAACTTTTGTACAATTTTTTTATAGTAAAAATAAACATACTTTTCAAAAAAATACATTCATTTTTTTTATTACACAGCGTTACGAAAAATTTAGAAAGGGGACACAAAAGTCATAATTTTAGGAAACACTGCTTTAGTGCTAACACAAAAGACCGAAGAAAACAAATTCCCTTTATCTAGCGGACCCGAGTCAAAAACCCTTAAACAGTGACCCCACACTCCTACTTGAAATAGTTATACTTTGTTACCATAGTCACCGCCCTGGGTCCAGACGAATGGCTAAGGGAGTTCTTACTTTAGACAAACTATATGTCCGACTCAATATATAATTTTCATTATCATTTCGTTTATATTCCAGTAAAAGGAGACTATATCTTCGGAAAAATTAATACCCGAGATAATGTTTCATAAAAAGTTTTGTTATCTTTTTATGAATGATGCAAGCTTCTTCCTTTTTGAGGGAAACGGGAGTGATTTGAGGACGGGGGGGGACGATTTTTTTTTCTAGACAGGCAAGTAAGGTATTGTTAACAATGTATTGTTTCACGCTGAATAAAATAAAACCATTTTCGAGATGATCAGACTTAAAACCACCAGTATAATTAATGAGAATACCACTTCAATGATCTAAATATACATATCTATTAAAAGTAATATTTTTAATGAATGTAATCTTTTATGACATTGATAAGCATGAACATTAAAATGGTTTTTTTTCTCGAAGAGTGTATAAAAATGTGCGCAAACAGTTTTACACCCTCTTAATAATCAATTGCTTCTGCTGTTTCATTTTCAATAGAAATTATTGCTAAAGAACTCTCTCTTGTGTCTTTGTAGTCCCGCAGCGAACTGATCGTTAAGACACGGTTCCCAGAAGATCACCGAAGTCAAGCATCACTGGCTGCGATCAGTGTGCGGGTGGGAGACCACTTGGATCAGTCTGCGTAGGGACCGAAGGTGTGCGGTATGGGTCCTCGTTAAACTGTTCTACCGTAAAGTGCTCGACATCGCGCGCAGGTCGTTGGGCCACCGAAGCGGGGGTGCCATCCCTCTGCAGAGGATCAAATTTGTGATGGCATGTTTTCGCACCATTCTCAGGGATGTTTCCCAGACCACCGCCAATAGCCTTTTGTGCAGGTCTAGTGTGACGTAAATGAACTACAACAACAACAAATTTTTTTTTAAATATAATTTTGAACAAAGTAGTTTTTGATCGCGATTCTCAATTTGGAACAAAACCGCCCCGCAGTGGACTGATCGTTAAGACACGGTTCCCAGTAGAACACCGAAGTCAAGCATCACTGACTGCGGTCAGTAAGCGGGTGGGTGAGCACTTTGATCAGCCTGCGTAGGGACCGAGGGTGTACTGTATCGGTCCTCGTTAAAATGTTCTACAGCAAAGTGCTCGATTTCAAGCGCAGGTCGTCGGAATACCGAAGCAGAGGAGCCGTCCCCTCTGCAGAGGATCAAAATTGCGATGACATGTCTTCGGATCATTATCAGGGATGTTTCTCAAATCGTCGCCAATAGCCCATTGTGCAGCTCTTGTGCGACATAAATAAAGTACCTACCTACCTACTTGGAACGAAATCATTCGAATATTTTCTTATAAATTAAAATTTAAAATTAAGCTTTTTTTTTTTTTTTTTTTTTTTTTTTTTTTTTTTTTTTTTTTTTTTTTTAAATCTTATACCTCAATTTGACTATTTGAGCATTATTCGAGCAAACTGTCTTTTGAATACTTTTCTTACCAACTCCCTTTTTTTTCAATATTCAAACCCACTATTATTTTTGCCATTGCTTCTTTTATCGGTACTATCTTTTTGTCGGTATCGGTACGTCTTTTATAGATACTATCTTTTTATCAGTATCGGTACTTGTTAGCAGTAAATATTATTATACTTTGTAAACAAATAATAATAATATTTGATATTATTATACTTTGTAAACAAAGTATAATAATATTTGATGGCGCCTTTTTTAAAAATTAATCGTAAAAATCAATCAAAAGTAGTGTGGATAGAGTCATATCGACAACGTCAATTTTCATCTATGAAAAGGTACCCCAACACAGAATAGAGTTAACATGTCTTATATACTAGTGAATTGGAATCATATTTTTGTAGTGGTAGATACACTACAGTACCCCCCTACCAGAATTTTTTATCTGTGATAGAATTCGATGAACAGATACCACCACTTGATTTATTGAAACCAGGAGAACTGTATTAAGATCACCGAACTTTTGATGCAGATCGTGAGAGCTGTATTAAGTTTACGGTCGTTCGTGTGTAGCATTTATTAGCCGAGAGTATACGCTGTACGTCGCATGTGATAGAGACGGAGAAGCAACACAGTGAGGAGGACAATGTCGCAGTCACAAGTAGCAAGTCAACTATTCAATGTGGACCATTCATCAAAGTAGTGATGTTCAGATTGAAGTGGGAGATTCTGTCAAGGTAGGCGTGTTCGTATCACGTCCGGGTCACCAATGTGGGGAAGGAAGTTATCGACAATGTCATCCATGAAAAGATACCCCGACATAGAATAGAGTTAACATTCACTAGCATGTATACTAGTGAATTGGAATTGTATTTTTGTAGTGGTAGATACGCTACAAGTAGTAGCCCGGAAGTCTTACGACGAATTTTAACCCCTAGATGGCGCTAGGGGTTAAAATTCGTCGTAAGACTTTCGGGTTGCTAAGACGGTCAACCATCCATGATTAATTGTTAAAAGAGGAATACCTGTGATGGGCCATGAACATCCAACCTCCCCGATGCAGCCGCATTTAATGTCTGTCCCGTCCATCCCCACCAGCAGATCTTGCCTCAATTTCTCGCACAAGGTCTCGACACTCATATGAAGAGTGGACTGAGACTGGGAACCAGACACATAGAAACCTATACAACCGAAAAAATTATCATCCGGATGTTGACGGCATAAAAATGGCCTTAAAAACATACCTTAAGGGTATGTTTTTAAGGGTAATAAAAAAANCTGAGGCCGCCTGTTGCTATGGAAACAAAAATAGCGCATTTCAAGGAGGGCTGCTTCTCTTCACTCTAGAGCAGTGTTTCCCAAAGTGAGGTACGCGTACCCCCAGGGGTAGGGGAACAGTTTAGCGGGGGTACGCGATCTTATACGAAATATCTTTGCAACAAACGAAAATTTCAAAATTTTTTATTTAAAAACGAAGTTAGTCATGGAAATTTATGATTACGTATTTTTCTATTGGTTATTTTTTGCAGAGTTGACAGTTAATAATTGGTGGTGTCATCAGCCAGTTGTAATTTTTAATTCTTGTGCAATTTTTTTACATAAAAAATAAACATATTTTAAAAAAAAAATACATTCATTTTCCTTATTTATGTAAATTTTAAAAAGGGGACACAAAAGTCATAGGTTTAGGAAACACTGCTCTAGGGCTAACACAAAAGACCGAAGAAATCAAATTCCCTTTATCTAGCCGACCCAAACCAAAACCCGTCCTCAACAGTAATCCCACACCCCTACTTAGAAATAGTTATACTTCGTTACCATACTCACCGCTACGGGTCCAGACGAATTATACTTTGTAAACAAAGTATAATAATATTTGATGGCGCCTTTTTTAAAACTTAATCGTAAAAATCAATCAAAAGTAGTGTGGATAGAGTCATATCGACAACGTCAATTTTCATCTATGAAAAGGTACCCCAACACAGAATAGAGTTAGCATGTCTTATATACTAGTGAATTGGAATTATATTTTTGTAGTGGTAGATACACTACAGTACCCCCTACCAGAATTTTTTATCTGTGATAGAATTCGATGAACAGATACCACCACTTGATTTATTGAAACCAGGAGATCTGTATTAAGATCACCGAACTTTTGATGCAGATCGTGAGAGCTGTATTAAGTTTACGGCCGCTCGTGTGTAGCATTTATTAGCCGAGAGTATACGCTGTACGTCGCATGTGATAGAGACGGAGAAGCAACACAGTGAGGAGGACAATGTCGCAGTCACAAGTAGCAAGTCAACTATTCAATGTGGACCATTCATCAAAGTAGTGATGTTCAGATTGAAGTGGGAGATTCTGTCAAGGTAGGCGTGTTCGTATCACGTCCGGGTCACCAATGTGGGGAAGGAAGTTATCGACAATGTCATCCATGAAAAGATACCCCGACATAGAATAGAGTTAACATTCACTAGCATGTATACTAGTGAATTGGAATTGTATTTTTGTAGTGGTAGATACGCTACAAGTAGTAGCCCGGAAGTCTTACGACGAATTTTAACCCCTAGATGGCGCTAGGGGTTAAAATTCGTCGTAAGACTTTCGGGTTGCTAAGACGGTCAACCATCCATGATTAATTGTTAAAAGAGGAATACCTGTGATGGGCCATGAACATCCAACCTCCCCGATGCAGCCGCATTTAATGTTTGTCCCATCCATCCCCACCAGCAGATCTTGCCTCAATTTCTCGCACAAGGTCTCGACACTCATATGAAGAGTGGACTGAGACTGGGAACCAGACACATAGAAACCTATACAACCGAAAAAATTATCATCCGGATGTTGACGGCATAAAAATGGCCTTAAAAACATACCTTAAGGGTATGTTTTTAAGGGTAATAAAAAAATATGTAATTAACAATTATTTTTACTTTCATTTAATTTAAATTAACTTATTAAAATTATATAATATGGAAAATATTTTTCAATCAAATTAATGCTTAAATTATTTATTAAAAATAGTAGGAAAATGTAAATTTTTTTTTTACGAAGTAGAACGAAAAAATTTTAAACTTTAACTTTTGTAAATTAAAATCAAACGTTTCTTTCTATTCCATCTTTCTAAAATAAATTAATAAATATGAAACAAAAAATATTTAAAAATACTTTTACTATATTAAATTAACTATAAATTTATGTAGATGGCGCTAACGAGTCCCAGATCTTTTTTCCATATTTGATTGGGTAAAAGATTAGAAAAGTTAGTTGTGTTTTTTTTTTTTTTTTTTTACATGCATCTGGGTGTGTTGCCCAGTTAAGTATTAAATAAAATAAATAAAAACCTGCTGAAGATAAGTCTCATTTTCGAATCACACGTTGAATGCTATGCTAATTTTACATGGCTTGCCCGTCTGGCCAAAAAACAACTACAAACTAAATTTGCAAATATTAGACATATTTTGCTAGTTTTTAAAAAGTTTAGCATGACATATCAGAAAAAAGTGGTTTACGAATTGTTTAGAAATAGTGGTGGATAAAAATATACTAAATTGAATTTATTAAACAGAATCACAATTAATAAACTACCAATTGAAAATATTTATTCGCTGTACGGAGCAAGTTGGCATTCTGTATATATAAATAAAACTATTTTTGTGTGTTCTACATTGCATTAATTTCTTCAAACCATTATAGTAACGATAATAATATTAAAAATTTACTCGAATTATGTGTTTCTAATAATCTTGGCATCGCCGGTCACCGGTGACCTCCATGGCATTCAACTTGTAATATGAATAGATAGTTCATAATTAAAAATTTAAATAGCTAAAAGGTAATCTAAAAACTATAAAGGTAACGATCACCTGATCCAGCTACAATCTTGACCCCAGTCGATTGAGACAGTTCTTCCAAATAATCTGCCTGACCATTTGCCCTCAATCCGATGGAACAATTGTCGACAATTGTGCCCCCTCCATTGCTCTTGAAGTAGTCCATCTCCTCTTTGATGGCGTCACCAACGCTGTTGAATTCGATGTTAAAGTCGTAGCAATAACTGGAATGACATTCAACATAGTATTCTTTAGTATTCAACTATAATACTCATTAAAAAAAAGGGTTAAATAGTGGGTTACATCAAGTTTATATGCCATACTTTATCCACTATAAACCAACCTTGTTTATTGCCTGTAAGTTTGGTAAAAACTTTCAAAGTAATGCTGCCCATGTTGCTCCTTCATCTATCGATGATCGAAATGGGCGACAGGTGGCGCAGAGCAAGACTCTCTACCTATGGCAACACTTTGCGTGCTTTCACCATTAGCGTGTGGAGAGTCATAGGTGAAGGAAGTATGGTAGTTTCTCTCTTGATTTTGAAATAGATTAAAAACTTTTAAGTTAAGAAACTATATGGAACTGAAAACTACATTGTACATAGAGCAAAAAGAAATTGTCTTGGAAAGTTTTAAAAATGTTTCTGACAATTCAAGCCATGGAACCGGTCTTCTCCCCAGATGGCGCACTCGAGCGTTGCGATCACGAATAAAAGAATTCAATGAATGACGAATATGTTGTTGTTGTTGTAGTTCATTTACGTCGCACTAGAGCTACACAATGGGCTATTGGCGACGGTCTGGGAAACATCCCTGAGGATGATCCGAAGACATGCCATCACAATTTTGATCCTCTGCAGAGGGGATGGCACCCCCGCTTCGGTAGCCCGACGACCTGC